GAAAAGACAGTAAAACTTGGATTCATATTCTCTGATATAACACACAATATTGCCCTCAATTTTGATGTACTCAACACTAAACACGGCATATATTTTATCGCAATATCTGTGACTTAAATATACACAAAATTTACTAAAAGTTTCGTAAATATTAAAAATCATAATTGCTTTCAATAAAAATTATAATAATAATATATTGTATAATAAAAATCAAGTGCTCTATTAAAGTGACGGCTATTGGAAAATAGTTAATTATGACGAAACAAAAAATTGTCGCATATTTTTATTTGTTTCATCAAAAGTTTTGCGATGACTTTTAAATTTGTCTCTTTTGGTATCACTCTCTTCAGTCACTTAAGTCTTGTATTTTAAGTTTTTAATGCATTAAATACTAGCCGTTTGTGAGAAAGAGAAATAAAATTGAAGTGAATTCAGCGAAACCTGTGCTTCATTTCACTTCTCATTTGTATTATTAATGTGTTGTTGTGTTTCGTCAACGAAAAGAGTAAGAGTAGACGAGAAGTGATATTTCTCTTGACTTTTCGCTTTCACTCTCTTTTCGCATCCATTGATACAAAAACAACTGATCTCTCATCACATCTCTGCGTACGGCTATAGTCATCATCCGTTTCGCACACAACCAGAACTCCTCTCTATTTTCTTCATCTCTCTCTAACACTCAGCACTCCTTTCCCTCTCTTCTTCATCATCTGAAGTGAGTATTGAAATAACATTTTTAAAATTTACGTCTGTTTTGATTATTATGCATAATATTTATCTTATTTGTTCAGCAAATTCTTAATTTATGAATTAAAAAGTAATTTTTCTAATCCTTAATGTAAATAAACAGTACGTGTGAAGTCTTTTTTAAGCATAAATGTTGCTTATAATTAAATTATCGTTAATTTCATATATAAATATGTGTTAAAAATAGACCATCGCTACAATCAGTTAAATGTCAATTAATATAATTAATAATTGTCAACAAATATATCTATAAAATAACTTTTTATAACTTTAAACTTAGAACTTAGCAACAAATAAATATTGTATAAATAAATACTTATGAATCTAATCCGATTTAGTGTTATGTGAGAGTTATATAAGCGATTATTTGGCCACAAATCACATAAAATGGGAAAATTAGAGAAAATAAAGTCTGCGAAAAAGAGCACAATATGTTATATAATAACGATTGTTATATTACTGGCCCTCACTATTGGCTTCTTTGCCGCTTATATCATTGAAAAGAATAGAGAAGGTAAGCATGAATTAAGTTTATATCATGTTTTGTATTATTATTTTTAAAAACCACCGCACCTTTCATATAACATACATATAAATAATACAAATGTTTACCCCCAATAACATAGATGATTCTCCTCCAGTCGTCGAGCCATCAACAGGTACTGTGCGCTCAAACATATATCATATCCTATCAATTATCCTCATTATTATGCAGTATTTCTTTATATCATTTGTAATTTTTCAGTTTTTACTTATTTATTTAAATAAATTAAGTACTTTTCGCTATATTTGTAAAAAATAAATACTTAACAAAAGACTTCTTTTTCATTATACGAGACCTCTTTCTATGCGCTATAAACTTAAAACTTTTTAGTAATGAATATTTTTCTGTGAAAAAACATGTTTAACATTTTAAATTGCATTTAAAAAACGCCAAACAGAGCAAAGCGTAGGCACGAGTCCGACAGCGCCTTCAGTGCCGCCGACAGCGCCTACACCTCCGCCAGACATAGAGTTATTGCTACCCAAGACTGTTCGGCCGAAACACTATGACTTGACTGTCGAACCCAACCACGAAACCAATGTCTTCACCGGACGGGTGACCGTCGAGATCGAGGTCATAGACGCCACGGATGTGATCAAAATACACGCCAATGAGCTGACTGTGTCCGGCGCTAAAGTGGTCGACAAAAGCGGCGCCGACTTAAAGATCAGTTCCACTTCAGAGGACACAAAGAAACAGTTTTATATCATTCAATTAGAGCAGCCGTTGTCTAAAGAGGCGACCTATCAGTTGTCGCTATCGTTTAGCGGTTCCCTAATCGGCAAAATAATCGGCTTTTATAAAAGCAGTTATACCAACAAAGATAATCAAATCAGGTATTTATTATATGCATATATAAATGGTTTATATGTTTTATGTGAGTAATTAGCAGTGAATTACACGATTGGATGTAAAACATAGGAAACAAATTAAATAATAGTTTTCTCTTGTCTTTCACTTTTTTGTAATTAGCTTTGCATACAAATTAAGTTTATATCAACTGATAAACAGTATACTTAATGAGATTATTTATTGACTGCCATTTAATTTTGTGCTACTTTTTTGTGAATTACTAATTAATGAAAAGCGATTAGTTTATTGAAGTTATTTAGTATTGTTTAATAAAACAAATACATGATATAGTCATTTATAATTTAAAGCAAATCATTTTTACCAATTGTAATTATAGGCAAATTACATAAAATGGTTTTGCAATTCTAAACATTGTTAAACAATTTAATGCATAATATAAAACATAATTTTTTAGTTCAAAATCATATATACAATATAAAATACAAAATATGCCGTACATAGTTATGCACACAAATGTTTAAAATTATCATTATGATAAGAAAATTTTATCCTTGATAAATAATATTTAAAATATTGACTATGTTGGAAAACACAGATACTTTAGTGCTACAAAATTTGAGCCGACGTACGCCCGGCAGGCGTTTCCCTGTTTTGATGAGCCGAACCTAAAGGCAACGTATAGTATATCTATAATCCACGACAAAGAGCTGAACGCCATCTCAAACGGCGAGCAAATTGAGCGCAAAGAGGAAAACGATGGACGCGTGCGGACTGTGTTCAGCAAAACTGTGCCGATGTCTACATATCTGGTCGCGTATGTCATCAGCGACTTTAAGTATACCAAAGACACCACTAAAAGAGGAACAGATGTATTCAAATTCATCTTAATTTGTGTGTAATTCAGCATTAATTTACAAAAATGTTTGCAAATGATAGGTTCGTGTATTCGCCCGACCGGACGAGATTGAAAAGACCCGATACGCCCTCTCGACCACTATTACTATTCTTGAATACTATGAGACATATTTTGAAATTGATTATCCGATGGAAAAATCAAATGATAGGTCCGTGTATTCGCCAGACCGGACGAGATTGAAAAGACCCGATACGCCCTCTCGACCACTATTACTATTCTTGAATACTATGAGACATATTTTGAAATTGATTATCCGATGGAAAAACTAGGTCTATATTTGATTTGATATATGATTTATAAGTTAGAGACAATATTTTAACACATGTTTTGCTGAAAATACCAGATATGGTGGCCCTCCCGGTGTTTGTGTCGGGTGCGATGGAAAATTGGGGTATTATTACATTCAGGGAAACAAACTTACTGTATAGCGCTGACCAGTCGAGCGCCAGTGAACAGAAAAGCGTGGCCGGTGTTATTGGGCACGAGTTGGCTCACATGGTAAACTTATATAATATTAGCTATACATGTACAATATATAAATCTATGTAAATGTAACCATGGTAAAAAAATTTGTAGTGGTTTGGAAACTTGGTCACAATGGAGTGGTGGGATGACCTGTGGCTCAACGAAGGTTTTGCATCATATGTGGAGTACAGGGGAAAGGATGCGAGTCATCCCGAGTGGCAAAACCAGCAGTTCTTTCTCAACGACGACATGCATGGAGTGATGAGAACCGACACTTTGGACACTTCTCATCCCATTATACAGGAGGTGACAAATCCGGATCAGATCACAGAGATCTTTGACGCCATAAGCTATAACAAGGGGTCGGCTGTACTGCGAATGCTTGAGTACGCCATCGGATCCGATGTGTTCAGGAGTGGTGTCGTTGAGTATCTCAAGAAAAATAGCTATGGAAACGCCGAAACCAAAGACTTGTGGGCAGCCATTCAGACAATTGTGGACAAAAAGCCCGGAACTGTTCCGAATGTCAACGATTTCATGGACCGATGGACTCGTGTGAAGGGCTATCCCGTAGTGACAGTCACGCGGACGTCGGCCGAAGAGATCACTTTCAGTCAAACAACGTTTCTATTGAACGCCGGCGACAATCAAAACAATGTCATCTCAAACAACAGGGACTCAACTCTTTGGGATATTTACATAACGTATCGATCGGCGGATCAAACGGGCAGTCATTTACTGAAAAAACAAGAAGAGTCCATCAAATTGAACGCAAAGATACCATTGACTTCTTGGATCAAATTGAATGACGAACAATACGGCTATTTTATTGTCAACTACGGGGAGACGGGTTGGAAACTATTGACAGACTTACTGAAGACCAATCGGGAGGAACTGTCGCCTGTGAACAGAGCGAACCTCATATTTGACGCCTCGATGCTGGCCGAGAGCGGACTCTTGTCCTACAAGACATTTATGGATCTAATCAGTTATGTGAAGGATGAGGACAATCTGATCCCATGGATGGCCGCCAACAGTGCGATCGCTCGGCTCAACGATAAGCTCAGCTCTTCTGACGGAGGCTTAACTGTAAAAGAATTCAAAAAACAGATGACCGATAGTATGTATGCTTCGCTCGGATGGCAATCTAATGCCAGAAGTAGTGAAAGTTTTCAGCAAAAGTAAGTTTTTTTATTGTTAATTATGCGCTCATTATTATTATGTTTTGTGAGATTATGGATCAATTATAATTAATGTGATAATTTTAGTAAATGCAATATGTTGGTTATTAGTTATTTTTCCCACAATATTTACTTAATTAACCAAAATTGGAAACTAACAAAATATTAAACTAAAATATTTTTTGTCATATTTTAATGAGTAAAAATACAATCGCTGTTACGATGACAGGGATTTTGGTTTAATTATTTGCAATTAGTTTTTTTATCGAAACCATGTCATCATTATTTAGAGAAATCACATAAATTTATATAATTTATATTCGGCTCATTAGGGATTATTAGTATTAGCATTATATGCTTTTATTAGTGAAAAATGATATATACAATTTTAATTTCTTATTTTCTTGTTATGATAATAAAACTCTCAATTTTTGTGGTAAATTAATGGCAATTTAATTAGCTGTTCATTAATTCTTTATACTTCAAAATTTACAGAAAAAACATTTCATTACTTATTAATATTGTTTGAGAAACAAGAATGAGTCGGAAAAACAAGCATTTAATTTGAAAAGTAACAAAATTATGCTAAAAATGTTTGTTTAGTACAAAGGTATTTGTGGGTCACATGAATATCACAATACATAACAAACAATTAATTCTCGCATTTCATGAATTGAGATCAAATACTTGAATATTTTAAGAAAATTAAACTTAAAACAAAAAGGCATTTCGCAAATTAAACAATTTATCTAAAATTAGATATTGTTTTACCACTAAAAAATAAAATTTGATTACATTAAAAACTTTTGCAAACTTTTAAAAAATTATTCACATAAATAATATCGAAAAAATATATCATAAAATTATATACAATTATATGTAAATATTTTTAGATTACTTCGGAATTACATAATCTCGTTGGCGTGCAGTAGTGGTAATCAAGACTGCCTTCAAGAGGCCAACAATCAATTCAAACAATTCCTGACAACTGGACAACCGATTGGGGCCGACATTAGGGCCAACGCCTATAAGTACGGCATTCAAGTGAACACAAACGACAACGAGTGGAACCAAGTGTTGGATTTATGGCTCACAGAAGTGTCTTCGGCAGAGAAGTCCAAACTGTTGACAGCGTTGACGAGTGTCGACGACTCTCAGCTGCTCTCCAAACTGATCACCAAATCAGAAGATGCGGTGATTGTCAACGACCAGGACTTCTTCACTTTCCAGCAAAGTATCGCCGCAAACAGTCTGACGGGTCGGCAATTGGTCTGGAATTATATGCGCCAAAACTGGCACAAACTCGTCGACCGGTTTAAGATCAACGACCGACGGCTCGGCTCTTACATCACTTCAGTGACCAATAATTTTAATACCGAAACACAACTCAATGAGTTGAAGGCATTCTTCGAGGCGAACCCGGAGTCGGGCGCCACAGAAAATGCCCGAAAACAGGCCTTAGAGAGGGTCCAGAATAATATCAAATGGTCGACGACTCACGAGGAAAGTGTGGTTCAGTGGCTCAACACTAATAGCCCGTCAGTGAATCCGTGGCTCAACTGGCGTTTGGATCCGCAAGTAGTGCCGCAGGCCTACAAAGTTCACTGGACTATAGATCTCAGCGCCGATACGTTCAGCGGAACCGTTAGAATTGAAGTGAATGTCAAAAAACCGATCAAACAGTTTGTTCTTCACTCAAAAGGTCTCACAATCACCGAATCAAAGGCCTATTTGGGAGACATTAATAGTGCCGATGAAAAGCCATTGAACGAAAAGAGTGAACCAATTGTTTACACGGACAACGATTTCTATGTCATACTGACTGACACCACAATACGGGCCGACATTTATCACTTATACCTCGAATTCAACGGCAAACTCAGCACCGGTTTGAACGGTCTCTACAAGAGTGTGTACACCGACAGCACCGGGACGTCGAAGAGTTTGGCCACCACTCAGTTCCAGTCGACGTACGCCCGACAGGCGCTACCCTGTTTCGATGAGCCGCAGTTTAAGGCCACGTTTGACATCACAATCACTCATTCGGCCCAATATAACGTCATCTCCAATATGCCGGTCCGCGAGAGTGTCATCGCCGACGGCGGTCTCAAAGTCACCAAATTTGATCCGTCGGTAAAAATGGTCACATATCTGGTGGCACTCGTTGTCAGCGACTTTGAATGTTTCGTGAGTCCCAGTGATAAGAGGGTGCGAGTGTGCGGCGCGCCCGGCAATAAGCCTAAACTGGACTATGCTTTGGACAAAACGCCAGCGATATTGAAGTTTTATGAGAGCGAGTACTTCCAGATTCCCTATCCATTACCCAAATTGGATAACATAGCGGTCCCTGACTTCAGCGCCGGTGCAATGGAGAACTGGGGTTTAGTAACTTATCGGGAGGTCTATCTGTTTTACGACGAGACAGAGTCGACCACTAAAAGTCAAATGCAAGTTTGTATGATTATTGCCCACGAATTGGCACATATGGTAAGCGTTTACTACAATTACTTATAATTTGATTCAATTAAAGACAATTTTAAACATTAATTAGCTTCGAAGTGATCTGAGATATGCTTATAATGAATAATAGTCTGTTAGTATTCAATAGTAGTGTAAGAGAAGTGAACACAGAATCGTGTATTTGTTGTATGTTTTCTAAGACTGTTACATGAGAAATGAATTGAAAAGTTGTAACAAAATTGTAATTCAATGAAAACTCAATTTTGAGTGAATTTGGTAAAAGTTGTTATATTGGATTAAATGATAATGAAGTGTCTTGAGCAACTTCTAGTGTAGCTAGAATTATGAAATTAGTTTCATAATTTAAGTTGACATCCTTAGGCACCAGAATCCAAGTTTCATCAAGATTGGATGAATAGCTTTTGAACAGGAATTTTTCAAAGTTTGTCACTCATTTTAATGTATTCCTATGGGAGAGGGTCCGTTTTTGTATTGACCGATGGTTAAAATCATGGTTAAATTGATCATGATCAAATACTAATAGAGATACTATAAAACCCTTCCTCTTCTGAGACCTTTATTATTCAATGTATATAACGATATGCTATTCATTGGCCAACACTGACCGCTACCCCAACTGTGGCCACACAAAAATCGGTGATTAACCCGATTGGCGGCCTGTGTTCGGTCAATTCCCAATTGATTCCCGTTATCATTGATGTCACGATTTCTGCACTAAACTATTGTCAGATAACTAATAGTGAATCCCAATAACCAAATAATCACTTCAAACACATCTGTAGTAAAAATATTTTTAGTTTAAAAATGTGATAATTTTTAGTCAAATATTTTGTTGTATACTATAAAACCCTTCCTCTTCTGAGACCTTTATTATTCAATGTATATAACGATATGCTATTCATTGGCCAACACTGACCGCTACCCCAACTGTGGCCACACAAAAATCGGTGATTAACCCGATTGGCCATCTGTGTTCGGTCAATTCCCAATTGATTCCCGTTATCATTGATGTCACGATTTCTGCACTAAACTATTGTCAGATAACTAATAGTGAATCCCAATGACTAAATAATCACTTCAAACACATCTGTAGTAAAAATATTTTTAGTTTAAAAATGTGATAATTTTTAGTCAAATATTTTGTTGTACATTTTTCAAAATAATTCCGACCGACAAAATTTGAAAAATTCCTGTTCAAAAGCTATTCATCCGATCTTGATGAAACTTGGATTCTGGTGCCTAAGGATGTCAACTTAAATTATAAAACTAATTTCATAATTCTAGCTACACTAGAAGTTGCTCAAGACACTTCATTATCATTTAATCCAATATAAATAAATTTATAATTATAATGGTTAAGTTTCTTACAAAGTTAGTGTTAGTACATTTTGCACGTGTAATAAAATTCAATTAAAAGCCGCTTTAATTATAATAATTATATAAAATAATTAAATAATAATCTACAGATTAATGCTCATTTTAATTTCTAATATTATATTACATTAACTGGCTTTTTATAGATGCACTTGATAAGACCTTGGTTGTGTTTTAGGTAATTTACCCGGTTGNCCTTGGTTGTGTTTTAGGTAATTTACCCGGTTGTCAGCTTATGTTACCTGTACTACAACTTGATCAACTATATAATATTTACAGTCAAATATCTATCCTGTCAACTATCTATGCTGTCAACTGGTAAAAATGTGATTGATGAATTCAGTAGATATTATTTATAAATTATAATCAAAAATATAAATAATTTAAGAATAAATTCATAAATACTCTTATTTAACTAAATTTTATTTAATTTTACATACACATTAGAAATAACTATTTAAATATAAACTACTTATAAATAATTTCATATTTCTCTCTCTCTCTTTATCAGACGTTACAAAATACCCGGAATCTAATGTTTTGCACAGAATATTCTCATATATTTATCATTATTTCATATTATATGTTCATATTAAGCAATATCATCGATTCAAACGCTCGTGATAGTTCTCTCTCTCTCTCTCTCTCTCTCTCAATAATTGTAATATAAAATAATTAGTGATAAAAATGGAAATTTTTATGACAGATAAAATACTGTGTAAATTTTAAACAATATTTTATATAGATAAAAGTGTTTTTACCATATAATAAAACTGACGATCTCTAAGTCCAAGGTGCTTTCAAATTAAATTGATAAAACATTTTATAAATTTACAACTTTGCCAGTACTTGTAACTTTTAACATAAATAAACTTATGGAGGTGTAATAAAAATAGCTAAACTTATAGAAATCACCAACAAGCAACACAATGATAACTAATCGGGCACATTTGCCAATATAATAATCTATCACGAGCGTTTGAATCGATGATATTGCTTAATATGAACATATAATATGAAATAATGATAAATATATGAGAATATTCTGTGCAAAACATTAGATTCCGGGTATTTTGTAACGTCTGATAAAGAGCTTGTTTAGACTTTTTAACCACTTCTTAGATTAGATATTATTTGCTGCACTTTATTGCAATATACTGTATGGTTTAATAATACTGCACTGTCTATTAGCGATTAAGCTTGATCACATTTTGTTTGCATTGATAATATATGTGTTTTGCAATCATTACTTTTAGTTAATAAAATTAATCAATAAATGAATTAAATAAACTTTTAATGTAGATTCAATCATGGACTTGTTTAATTAATATTTATGTATAAATTAATTTTATGGTTTGTATAAATAAAGTACAATGTAATAAATGTTTTGATACATGATACATCTAAATTACATGATTGTAAAAGTATTTTTATTACACACATGAAAACAATATTTCGTTATCTCATTCAAACATTTCGTTTGCGATTAAACAATAATTTATTTTTATTGTTAATTAATTTACAGCTGAATAACAACCATATGATAGTTTCAAGGCATTTACTAAAACTGATATACAATAGCCATACACAGTAAAAATGTATTTTCAAAAATTGTTTAATCATGTTTATTGCAATTATGTAGTGTTTGTAATTATGATTAATTAATTTGTATGCAAGCTTTATATAAATTAAATTATTCACAATTTACTTACATAGTTTTGTCGGCGCACAAGTATATTCACAATTAAAATACTAATTTTAATACATGTTTTTCAAAATTTCAAATTTCAAAATACTTATAAAATATTTATAAAAAATAATTTTAAAACATTATTAATTCACTAAACAATCGTCGTTTTAAACCAAGATGAAACAAATTCTTATAACTTGTATTTATAAAGTACTAATGTAATAATGATAAGTAGATTTACGATCGCTAATCACCAGACATTTGAAAACATGGTTAAAACACAATAGTAACTGAACACAAACACCAGAGTTAAATAACTCGCATCTAAATAAATACACTATAAGTTATATTGAATATAATATTCAATATAATAAACAAATTGTTACATAAATATCCATAGGATGTAAGCGGGAGACAGAGAAAAAGGGTTCACTAAACACACACTTCACTATATGAATGCCATTTATCCTATGGTTTGTAAACTTTAATACAAATAATACACTGTTGGAGAGAGAGAGAGAGAGAGAGAGAGAGAGAGAGAG